AAGAGGTGGTGGAAAATGAACATTGTTTGAAAAAGGCAGACATCAAGGATGCTTGGGAGCAGAACATCTCCTCGTCAGAGCAGATGCACCAGAGACGGAGGAATTGGGAAAATGGGGTGGTGTTTTTGCAGGATACAGGCTGGGAGATGGTGTAGTCTGGATAGCCATGGGAGTTTGTGGGTTTATAGTAAATGTCAGCATGTATGCTGTCGCCAGAAATGGAAACAAAGATGTCAAGCAAGGGGAGGGAGGTGTCTGAGATAGACCAAGTGAATTTGAGGGCAGGGTGGAAGCTGTTAGCAAAGTTGATGAACTGATCCAGTTCAGCTGGATGCAAGATGCGGCACCAATGCAGTCATTGATGTAATGATGGAAGAGTTGGAGAACAGTACCAGTGTACATACTGAAGAGAGACTGTTCGATCAAGTGAATTTGAGGGCAGAGGAAACTATTCGTATGCCTCCTCTGAAAGCAGGTACACAAAAAAAAAAAAATTAGGCCAATTCCACCATTCAATAAGGTCTTGGTTGAATTGACTGTGGTCTTAGCTCCACATTCCTCTCCCCACAGCCCTGCCAACTTAACCACCATCAGCACACACACAAACACATCACTGACTCCCTTACTGATCAAAATTCTAAATTAGCACTGAAGAAAGTCAATGACCTTGAATTCACTGTTTTGAGGGAAAGAATGGAGTAGGCTAAAGCGCTTTAAAGAGGAAAAAAAATGCACCTGTCTTCTTTGAGACACCCTTAATATTTAAACTCTGCCCCTGGTTCTTGATTCCTCCATTGAGGGTGTCATCCTTTCACTACCCTTCTTTGTCAAGACCCCTTCAAAATTTTACATATTTCAATCAGATCAGCTCTAATTCTTTTAAATTCCAGTGGGAATAGGTCCACTTTCTCAACCTTATAAAGATAACTCTTTCATGCCAGGAATCAGTCAAGAACTGCTTCTAACATAAAATGTACAATTTCCAAAAAAGACAAACTATGTTGTACCCAAGATGTGCTCTCACCAACTATCTTCCTATAATGATTAATAAGACCATAAGATGAAGAAGCAAAAGTAGGCCATTCTACCTCAGCCTTGAATATACTTAAAATGACCCAGCTTTGACAGCCCTCTGTGGTAAAGAATTTTACAGATTCACTACTCTCAAAAGAAGAAATTCCTCCTCATTCTTGTTTTAAGTGGGTAACCTCTTAACTGAGATTATCCCCTCTGGTCCTAGATTCTCCCAAGTGCTCTAAAATTCTTGTATGCTTCAATAAGGTTGTCCTTCATTCTCCAATATTCCAATAAGTACAGGCACTATCTTCTCAACCTCTCCTCATAAATCAGTTCCTCCGTACCTGTATTTAGTCTGGTGAACCTTCTCTGGACTGCCTCCAATGCCAGTATATCTTTCCTTAGATAACAGATCCAAAACTGTTCACCATATTCCAGCTGTGGTCCGACTAGTGCGTTGTATTGTTTTAGCAAAACCCTCATTGCTTTTATACTCATTCCCTTTGAAATAAAGACCAACATTCTATTTGCCGTCCCTATTACTCAATGAAGTTGGATGCTAGCTTTTGTGATTCATGGACAAGAATTCAAATCCCTCTTGTGTAGCTTCCAGATGTTCATTGTTTATTTAAATTTAAATGCTGAATATTGTTTAATCAAAAAGCTCCTCTGTTATTCCTACCAAAGCGCATAAACTCACGTTTCCCCATATTACGCCCCATCTGCCAAGTATTTGCCCACTCACTTAACCTGTCTACATCCCTCTGTAGACTGTCATCCTCACATCTTCCATAAATACATAAGTATTTGGATTGGTGGGAGATATAATGAATTCAGTTCCTCCACTGGTTTTGACAGGGAATTCTATATGCTTATTCCTTGGGTTAAAATGCAAACCTCATTCAATATTTTAATAAAGTTTTGCACTAATTTTGTAAGACGCAGAAGTTCCTTGCCCATACATACCCTCTCCCAAACCTTGCTTTAATATTGCTTTTCTAATCATTAAAAAAGAGAACTAATTTACAGGAACATAGAATAAAGAAACAAGTGGCCATTTAGCTCCTCTAGCCTATTCCGTCAGAGATTGTAGCTGATCACCTTTTTCCTCACATGACCCCCATTCTTGTAGAAATGCATTTATCTGAACTGAACATGCTAAATGATTGAAGTTCTCTGGTTTCCTAACTATCATATTCCAATGTACAAGTGTCCATGCTTCTTAAGTTTGTAAATGATACATAAAAGCACTTTCAAGCATCCAGTGGTTGTGAAAGCACAATATTAACACGTTTCTTTTTTTTTCTGTCTTTATTGTAGTGGATTTGTTCTGCATTCTCTGTAAAGGGAACAGCCTCAGGATATTGCAAAGTGCCACACACAAAGCAACAGTTAAAGGGGATAAGGCAGAAATAACACTCTTTTATTCCCATGGCAGCTTATCGCATCATCAGGATATCAGGCAATCCGCATACTGAATGAAATCACTTCTAAAGTGCAACCTCTATACATGGACAAATACAATAGCCAATGTTCAACATTCTACATGCAGTGATTGCCATAAAATGATCCATTAATTTGCTTTGGTTGTGTTCATCGAGGGAGTATCATTGGCTAAAATGGAAGTGAAACAGCTCCTGATCAGACAGCACAAGACAGATCTTGTAGACTGTGAAGTCCTCAATTCAAGTCTCTTGTCAAAGACAGAACTTTGAAGTATTGTATACTGCTTGTCTCAGTATGACATTGGATCCTGGAATGCGTTTGAGTGAATTATGCAGCCTGACATTTGATCATGAAAAACAGGCACATTCATATGATGCATTTTGATATCCAGTAGCCTTTGATTGGGATATCAATTAAGCTTTGCTGTGACGTTTTACACAATCACACTGCCTGAAAATTTGTATTCAAATAGATACTTGATAATAGATGACCGAGAGGAAAGTTATACTCCAGTAAGAGTTCCCATGTTTGCAAATTTATGCTATGATATTTTTCTTGTAGTAAATAAGATTATTCAATTAATAAGAACATTTCCAATTGCTACTTTCATCACTGTACCACTCCATACACTTATGTTGAGCACAACTTCACTCAATGCAATACTAAGGGAGTGCTGCACTATTAGTAGCACCAACTCTCAAATAAGATGAGTGTGTGAGCATAGAAGATGCTATCATTCAAAGAGCTGAGCAGTTCTCCCCAGTATCCTGGGGACATTGGTCATTCTTGGGACTGGTCAGAAGAAAGACGACACTAGGCTATAGTCCAAAAGGTTTATTTGAAATCACAAGCTTTTGGAGGGCTGCTTCTTTGTCAGGTGCCCCTCCAACTTCACCGGACTAACGAGCAGTGCTTCAAAAGCTTGCGAGTTAAAATAAACCTGTTGGACTATAACCTGATGTTATGTGACCTCGTCCACCCCAGTCCAACAGAGGCACTTCCACATCATCATCCCTGGAACAGAGTTAGCGACAAAACAAAACTGTAGATGCTGGAATCCAAGGTAGACAAACAGGAGGCTGGAAGAACAGAGCAGGCCAGGCAGCATCTGGAGGAAAGGAACAGTCAACGTTTCGGGTATTAAGAAGGGTAATAATACCTTTCCTCCAAATGCTGCCTGGCCGGCTCAGTTCTTCCAACCTCCTGTCTTAGAACCAGCCTTAGAACCAACATGGGTATGTTAAAGCTGCTGGCGGGATCCTGTTGTGTACAAAGCAGCTACCGATTTTTCAACGTGATAACAGTGACCACACTTCGTTGGTACTAAAGCAATGACTCAACCCGACGGTTGTGAAACAAGTTTATAAACTTGACCAATAATTCTGATGGGGATGGGGGTGAAGGAGTTGGGAGGTGCGCTGCCTCAGCGTGACATGTTCACATTGCCCTTATATCCAAACAGATGGGTATTTATAACACCAAAAACCGGAAGAAGGAGGATGGGATGCTCAAACTCAGCAGAGTAAGATATATTTTAACATTTCCCCCACCCACAGGCCGCGACCCCGGACTCACCTTCTTGCAGTACGGGCAAAAAGTTTTACTGAACACCAGCACATTATGTGAATCGATGAGACGCTGGATGCGGAGCTTGAGCTCCTCGTGAGTGACGGTGGAACCGGTCGGAGGCATGGTGCCCGGGGCCGGGGACAGAGGAGACCGAGACCGGGACCGGGACAAGCGACGCTGCCCCTCCAACGCACTGACTTGAATCAATAAATCGCCTGCTCCGTCCTACTTTTCCCTCATGAAAAGTAACAGTTTGCCGAAAAAACGCAACTAAATTCTCCGAAGGAGGGGTTTTCGACGAGACGACCGACGGAGAAAATTCGCGAAGCTTCACCGCACTTTGCCCCGCGCGCCACCGCCAGACTCCGAGCCTGGCAGCCCGTTCCTCCTCACTGCGCATGCGCTTATACGGACAGCCCCGCTCCTCCTCACTGCGCACGCGCTCACCCGGGCGGCCCGCTCCGCCTCACTGCGCACGCGCTCACCCGGGCGGCCCGTTCTGCCTCATTGCGCACGCGCCGCCCCGGCATTTCGTTCTCGGTCGCTCCTGCCTGACCGAAAGGGAGGGTCCTGATTGATCACGGTAAAATAAAACAAAGAAATGCGGGTGCTAGAGACTTGACATAAAATTCTGAGGGTCAATCGAACTGAAACGTTAATTCTGCTTTCCCTCCACAGATGCTGACAGACCTGCTGAATTTTTCCAGCAATTTATGTTTTTGGAGGGTGATTGGCCGACACACATATCTTCCATTACGCCGTCGCCCGTCCACCAACTAAATAAAACCATCGACTACCTTCTCTAAGGGAATGGGATTTATTTAGCTCCTTCCCTCCCCCCGCGACCCTGAATAATGCTGCAGGACCTCTCAGGCATCATGCAAGACTCCTGAAGTCATGGGGCCGTTTCCATGGCAACGGTCTGTGTTGGTGCGCCCTTCCTGTGGAGAAGCCCTGTAATTAACGGAGAAAGGGGCTGGCCATTGGAGCCAATAAGGGGATTCAGTCCCCATCCTCCTCCAGCTCTACATCCTATTGAGATCTCAACCCAAAACATTTAATGATTATTTAGATGGACACTTGAAAAGCCATTGCATACAAAGCTATGAGCCAAGTGTTGGAAAATGGGATTAAGCTTGATAGAAGCTCGAAGGCTGATACAGACATGATGGGCCAAAGGACCTCTTTTTGTGCTGTAAATTTCTACAATTCTCATTCCTACCTCTGGAGCATCATTGATTTCTATCGCTCTGCCATTGGCAGCTGCACCTTAAGTTACCTGGCTCCCAAACTTTGGAATTTCATCTCTAAACCTGTCCACCTCTCTCTTGTGGCTCAAAATGTGCCTCACAGACCAAGTTATAACAGAAGATACAGAAAGTTCCACCTTTACCAATTAGTGATGGAGGTCGGCAAGTGGGTAAAGTTAACTATAACTTCTGCAGGTTAGGGTGCTTTGTAGCAATGTAACATACTTAATTGGAAATCCCTGTGGGACTTGCATTGCATACATTTGCTGTTCTATTTCCTATGTTAGATAGTGACTAGACTTCAAAAATAGTTCATTGGCTGAACAGCACACTGAAACTGTCTGTGTAAGGTGCTATATAAATGTAAGTCGTCCTTCTAAACTGGGACTTGAACCCACAATCTGCTGACTTCTGAGCAAAGAGAAGTGACGCAGGACCCCAAGCGTCAAATATTGAAATTAATCCAGATTTAGGCTGGACACTTTTACTCAGACCTGTTAATTAGTAGTTTTGATTTTTCAGATTTCTGAGTCTGTACAGTTCTCTGCCAATTCTGAGGATCAGTATCATGTCTCTTCAAGGCGCTGCCTCTAGGTTTTCATTCTCAGGACAACTTTCCAACCTCTACTGAAAGCATGAACCTCCCCTACCCCAACCACTCCCACTTTGGGACATCCACCATTTTACTCCTGACTTACCTGCAAAGTCCCTTTTCCTTCCAGTTATTCTGCCACTTCCGTGGGATTGGGGATGTTACAAGAAGAAAGATGGTGAGTATCTGCCTACATCCTGTCAAGCCCCTGGAGCTGTCTTTTCCTGTACCAGTGGAAAGCACTGTCATTTGCAAGTAAGAAACTTGCAAGCAAGTGTCCCTTTTCTAAAGAAGTGACATAGGAGCAGGAGTAGGCCATTCGGCCCCGCAAGTCTGTTCCACCATTCAATATGATCAAGGCTGATCATTCAATACAGAGCCTATTCCTGCTTTCTCCCCATACCCTTTCATCCCTTTAGCCCTAAGAACTAGCTCTAACTCCTTGAAAACATTCGACGTTTTGAGTGCAACCACTTTGTGGCAGAGAACACCATAGGCTCTCCACTCTCTGGTAATGTCTTGTACAGCTGTAACATGTCCCAACTCCTGTACACAATGCTCTGATCAGTGAAGGCAAGAGTGCCAAATACTTTCTTAACCATCCTGTCTACCTATGATGTCATTTCGAAGGAACTGTGTACCTACAACCCTAGGTCTCTCTTTCCAACAACATGCCCTACCATTAACTGTGTAAGTCTTGCCCTGGTTTGGCTTACCAAAATGCAATACTTTGCATCTATTGAAGTTAAATTCCATTTGCCATTCCTTGACGCACTGGCCTAGTTCATCAAAATCCCTTTGTACAATTAGATAACCTTCACTGTCTAATAAACCACCAATTATGGTGTCATCCGCAAACTTATTAACCATGCCTCCCCCGCCCCAAAGCCAGAACATCCTTCCTCGAGCTCTCCTCCCTGTGATTCCTCCCATTGCTTGTGTAACAACTTGGATGATACACATTACATACATCGAGATGAAGGAACTGAGTGCAATTTTGTTAAGTTTGCAGATGGCACAAAGGTAGGTGGAGGGGCGGGTAGTTTTGAGGAAGCAGGGAGTTGCAATAGGACTTGGACAGGCTAGGAGGTTGGGCAAAGAAGTGGCAAACAGAGGTTATGCACTTTGGTAGGAAGAATAGAGGGGCAGACTATTTTCTAAATGGGGAAAGGCTTTGGAAATCTGAAGCACAAAGGGACTTGAAGTTGTAATTCAGAATTCTCTTGAGGTTAACATGCAGGTTCAGTTGGCAGTTGGGAAGGCAAATGCAATGTTAATATTCATTTCAAGAGGGCTAGAAGACAAGCAGAGATGTACTGTTGAGGCTGAATAAGGCTCTGGTCAGATCTCATTTGGAAGATTGTTTTAGATTTAGATTTTTAGATTTAAATGTATTGTCTCATAGAATCATACAGCATGGAAACAGACCTTTCAGTCCAACCAGCCCGTGCTGACCATAATTCTGAATAAAACTAGTCCCACTTGCCTGCGCTTGGCCCGTATCCCTCCACGCCTTTCCTACGTATGAACTTATCTAAATGTCTTTTAACATTGTAACTGTACCCGCATCTACCACTTCCTCTGGAGTTCATTACACGCGCTAACCACTCTCTGTGTAAACAAATTGCCTCACGTATCTTTTTTAAATCTTTCTTCTCTCACCTTAAAAATTTGCCTCCCTAGTTTTGAAATCCCCCACCCTAGGGAAAAGATATCTGTCCATTCACCTTATCTATACCCCTCATGATTCTATAAACCTCCATAAGGTCACCTGTCAACCTCCTACGCTCCAGTGGAAAAAGTCCCAGTTTATCCAGCCTCTCCCCTTAACTCAAACCCTCCATTCCTGGCAACATCCTGGTAAATCTCTTCTGAACCCTCTCCAGCTTAATAATATCTTTCCTATAACAGGGAGACCAGAACTGCACACAGTTCTCCAGAAGAGGCCTCACCAACATCATGTACAACCTCAACATTGACATCCCAAATCCTATACTCAAAAGTCTGAGCAATGAAGGCAAACATGCCAAATGCCTTATTAACCACCCATTCTATATGTGATGCAAACTTCAAAGAGCAATGAAGGCAAACATGCCAAATGCCTTATTAACCACCCATTCTATATGTGATGCAAACTTCAAAGAATTATGGACCCGAACCCCTAGGTCTCTCTGTTCTACAACACTACCCCAAGGCTCTACTTTTTATTGTAAAGGTCCTGCCCTTGTTTGTTTTACCAAAATGAAATACCTCATATTTATCCAAATGAAACTCCAACTGCCACTCTTCAGCCCATTGACCCAATTGATCAAGATCTGTTTGTAATCTCAGATAACCTTCTTCACTGTCCTCTGTACCAACAAGCTTGGTGTCATCCACAAACGTACTAACCATGCCTTCCATATTCTTGTCTAAGTCATTTATAAAAATGACAAACAAAAGTGGACCCAGCACCAATCTTTGTGGAACACCTCCAGTCTGAAAAACAACCCTCTGCCACACCACTCTCTGTATCCTGCCATTTAGCCAATTTTGTATTCAATTGGCAAGGTCACCCTGAATCCCATGTGATCTAACCTTAGTCTACCATACAGAACCTTGCCAAAAGCTTTACTAAAGTCCAAAGAAACAATGTCTACCACCCTGCCCTCCTCAATCTTCTTGGTTACTTCCTCAAAACACTCAATTAAGTTTGTGAGACACGATTTCCCTCACACAAAGCCATGCTGACAATCTCCAATCATTCCTTGCCTCTCCAAATGCGTATGAATCCTATGTCTTTAGAATCACTTCCTACAACTTACCCATCACCGAAGTTAGACTCACGGGCCTATGGTTCCCAGGCTTCTCCTCACATCTCATCTTAAGCAAAGACACAACGTTAGCCACTCTCCAGCCATCTAGCACCTCACCCATAATTATAGATGTATGTAAAAATACAGCAAAAGGTGTTTTTTCACATGCTAAATGCAAAGTGTCACTATGCTGCGGCACCATCTTGAAATGCTGAATATAATGCAAGATTTTACAGTGATAGATTTCATCCCCTCTCTTCTTGTTCCTCCTCTGCTGCTCCTCCAGTCATTGTTTGACATTCAGTAAAGTCATGAAACAGGCTCCGGGGTCTTGGTTACAGGCCTTTGCTGCTGCCACTCCCGTGACCACCATATCCAAGCTGAGCCATGGGACTGGAGATGCTTGCCCCTCCTTTTCCTCATCCAACACTCCTCCAGACAGTGCCGTCGGTCCACTGTCTGTCCCTTTTGCCAACGCTTCCTCTCCCCCAGGCACCTGGGCCTAGCTGCGGACCTGGAGCCTCGGCTCAGCCTGTGAGTCCAGGCCGAGGGAGTCAGCCCGGGACCCATTCCTCCCTCACCAGGAGACCCCTGGCTGGGTTGGACCCATGTCCAGCTTGTCCCGGCATTGCTGCTGCTGCAACTGGACACTTCTTCCTTCACTCACCACTCTGCAGGCTCCAAAGAAAAGAAAACAAAGATTTTTGGGCACTGTATCTAAGGAAAGATGTGCTGGCCTTGGAGAGGGTCCAGAAGAGATTCACAAGAAT